TAAGAATATTTTAATTTGAAGAGAAGTTGGATTCAGAAAATTATGGTAAAAACGATAACTTGTCGGTTTTTTTTTTCGATTTTTAATTCCCTCCCTGAAAAGTCAAAAGTCATTCAACTTAATTGTGAGTATTTCAAATATTGAATGTAATCTTTCTGGCTTACAAGGGTCCTTTTCTTTGCTTTATTGTGTGTTGCATTTCTAAAAATATTGTACATTCTTTTTTTGAAATTTAAAATTTCATACAAATGTGAAAAGTTTAAAAAGTTACTAGTTCCTCTTTAATTACTGGATGTTGAATTTTTATGTCTTTTGGACGATTTGGGGTCTAAGACAATAAACTTTAATTTATCGTAAAATTGTTATGTAATAATTATAAAATCACAATGATATTACTGTAAAATCACAATCAAAGCACGATCGAATCATGGTGAAACCGCGATTGATCCACATTTCATCATGAGTGGAACTACAGTAGAACCACTGCCGAATCACGATGGATCCACAGTATAACCACAAATTAACCCATGGTTAAATCACAGTAAAACCACTGTGAAACCACGGTAGAGTCACGGAAATTCAATTATAAAACCGTAGATGGAACCACGATGAAACCACAATAGATCCACAGTTAATCCACTGTTGAACCACGGTGAAATCGCAATGGCAAAACGGCAAAAATCCACAGTGGGTCCACCGTGGTTCCATCGTGGCTCCACAGTAAATCCACTACAACCATGGTTCCATCGTGGATCCACCGTGGTTGCCAAACTGCGAGGGAATAGAGATCATAATATGGAGTGCATAGTCTCTACTATGGAGGGTAGAGGTCTCTATCCTCCATAGTCTCTACGTCCCCAGTCTCCAATCGCTGTATCATAGAGCACAAAAATAACCTATTCTCCATCGGTGTCTGTTCTTGTATACTTGGTTTGGTAAATAAATTAAATAAAAGTAAATCATAACTCTTACATTAATTTATAAATAATAAATAATAAAATAATAATTTATTTAATATTTTATTTCAAAATTCATGTAAGAATTAAAATATATATTTTTATTATAAATAAATTATTATAAATAAATTATTTGACTTTTAATATTTATTAAGTATTTTTTTGTAGTAAATTTATTAATTAAATAATTTATGAGAGAAGAAATTAACAAGTAAATTCCACATGTTGAAATTGTAAAACAATATTAATACATTTATTTAAAAGTAACTATTTATAACTTATTTATTTGTTAAATGAAATCTAAAAATACTCTAGTGTCTGGTGATTTCAGCGTCATCTATATTTAAGTAAATCATAGCCTGTAAGTATTGTAACTATTAAAATTATATCTTATATCAATAATTATTTCATAAATTTCATTTTTTATTGACTTATATTAAATTTTTCAGGTCGCCGTTGAAAAGGTGGCAGTGACATTAACGAATGGCTTATTTGAATGAAAAAAAAAATATCATTGGTCAAACCTTATAATAAAAATGAACCAAAGAATGAAAATAAATTATTGTTGTAAGTATTTACGAAATATAAAATGAATTTTCAAAATTACCATAGAAAATGTAAAAGATGATAATTTTTTAAAGTTATAATTTATTACAATATTCAATATTTTCATATTACAGGGTTTTTTTTTACTCACGTTGAAGAAATTAGTTTTGGCCGTTGGTGTTTTTTTTTTGACCAATTTTTTTTTTTATCTTTTTTTTCTGGAAGCCAATTTTTAATTTTATGTTGATTAATAAATTTCCTTGAAAGTATTGAAATGTATTGTAAATTTCTACCTTGTGTCGTTGCTATATTTGCTAATTTTTTTCTAGTATCCGTAACACTGATTGTTTTTTGATTTAGCTGGCTGGAAGATTCGGACAATTGGAGTGTTGTTTTTGTCGTAATTGGTTTGTGGTTTTTAATACTTTCTAGTAAAAAATTTTGAGTTTCTATCGCCAAAGAATTAATGGGCACAAGAAATGGCGGTTTATCTGAATCTTTTTTTTTCAGTATCACGTACTTTTGAGTTTCTTCTTGAACATTTTGTAATTTATTTTTTTTTGTTGGTAAATCAAAATTCATATCATTATTTACTTCAATCAACTCGTTTTCTTTTTAGTGTTGATGTTTTATAAGTTATTGTTGTCGTTGTAGGTGTTATTGTTGTTGGTGTCGGTAGCTTTGTAGGTGCTGATTCTTTAATTGTTGTAGTTATTTCTGATATTGATGTCGCTTTTGATGCTTCATTAATTGTAGTGAATCTCTCAGGCGTTTTTGCTGTTACTTCAAGTAATGATTCAACTTTATCTTCTATTGGTAGAGTTATTTCTTCTTTGATAACTTTATTTTCTAATGCTGATTCATTAATTGTTGTGAATCTCTCAGGCGTTTTTGCTTTTACTTGAAGTAATGATTCAACTTTACCTTCTAATGGTTGAGTTATTTCTTCTTCGATAACTTCATTTTCTAATACTGATTCATTAATTGTTGTGAATCTCTCAGGCATTTTTGCTGTTAATTCAAGTAATGATTCAACTTTACTTTCTAATCGTTGAGTTATTTCTTCTTCGAAAACTTCATTTTCTAATACTGATGGTGTAATTCTCCAATATTTACAGAGCCAATCTTTCAAATTTATTATGTCAGCTACAATATCTTCTTGAAGGTCATCATTTTGTGACAATCGTATCAAATCTTCAATAATTTGATTGATAATTCTTTGATTATCGGCATCTTTGATGTTCAATTTTTGGCTCACAGACTATTAAACAATAAATTATTACTTTAAAATAAATGCTATATTTAATGAACAAATTACCTGTAGTGAGATATAAATGAATGTTAAAGTATTTGGCGCGGGATATTCAAGAATATTTAGAATGAACTCAAATAGTATTTTTCCAAAGACTTCAACTACGTCACTGTTAATTTTATTTACTAACTCGGCTATAAAACCAAGAAAGCCATGACATTTTCTTTGTAGTTCAAGGGAATGAACATAATCTTCAAGCCATTGTTCTGTAATATTATTAGCTGCTTCACGACATCTGTAGAATTTTAATTAAATCATATTATATAAAAATTGCAAGCAATAAAAATTAACTAATTTTATGAACTGTACTGTTTTATTAAATCAGCTCTAAACTTGATTTGAGTTTTATTGAAACTGCTCGTGGTATCATAGTTGCAGATC